AGAAAGGGCTCGGTGCTTCCATCCAGACCACAGGCTTCCGTGAACACCCCTCTACCTAGGGCGCCATACCTGAACAACTCACTGTCACAAGACTGTTTCCCTATCCTGATGCATTCCTAGGCAAGAAAAACCTGTTAAAATGGCAATTTATGCAGGGATTGCTTCAGAACAGTTTCCACTACAGAACTGCTGGCTTTCTAAAATGAAGGGGCTTTTTAAAAAATGGATGATTTTCCCATTTGCCCTCTAAGAAACCAGCAAGTTGTATCACACCGGACAAACGCAGAATTTACAGCACTCAGTGATCTCGCTACAAAATATTTATTGGTAACAGCCAAGACATTGAATTCTCCACATATGTAGTATTTTGTTAAAAAGCATAATTTGACTTTATGTATTTACACTTATCTGGCAGATACCACCTAGGAGTCAAACTCCCCGTACCAGCTCACGACCAAAGAGACCAGTTTCCAGAAGGCTCGCCAGGATCCTAGCCCCTGACCCAGAACCAAAGTGAAGTCTCTTAAAGTGCAAATAATAGTCAAGAGGCATTGGAAAAGATAAACTGCTTCTTCCAAATTTGTTCACTCGCTCCTGTGTCCCCCAGCGCAGAGGTTAGGACATTAACCGAGGACCTGGGAGCCTGAAAAAAAATCTCTTAAACACCAACTTGAAGATAATTACACCTATTATCTCCTACAGCCCAAGCAAGAGTGCTCGGCCACCACCACTGCTTATTTAGAGGTGGGCTGTTGAGTTACCTTCCCCCTCACCTCTTCCTCACCTTCTTCTTTCTTGAAGAAAGGTCTTTTAATTCATCCCAAAGAACACGGGAGGATTCATCTTTAAAATGACAAGTTTGGAGGGGGAATGCTGTTTTCTGTTTGGCTTTACATAAATTTGGACACCTCATTAGACCTGGGAGTGAGGTTTTTTTATGAGGTCCGTTTCTCATTAGCTGACTGCCCTGAAGAGCACAGGAATTGCAGTCCTGATACTTTTAGACAAGCACATAGAATCTGGAAACGAAAAGCTTTATTCACCCTTCCTGTCTAAACTTCTGTAAACACATGATACTCAAGTTCCTTGACAATACTTGGCACATTTCCCTCTTTTAAAGGTAGCTGGAAAACACTCAGTGCTACATCAACCACGATGCCTTTGCCTGCGTGGGTGGCAATCGGCCCTGGGAAGGCATTCAGCTTTAACTGAGCATTAGTGCTGTGTTGTGCACAAACCTGTAAGTTTATCTTCATTCCTGAAAGCCACTGATGTTCTTAGTGTATGAGTCCTCCTAGATTGGTCCTTTGGTCCTCTTTTCGTAAAGATTTCACGCTGGAACGCACAATGTTTTACAACACAGCAAGCAGAAGAGAGCTGAACAGCACTCTTTAGACGAGTGCTCAAACCACATCAGCAAAGAGCATTTTGAGAATAAAAGACTTCCAAATGCTTCCCTGTGAAAAGTAACAAGAAAAATGGCTGGGGATATCTGTTCACTTCCTCAGGCAACGGACTTGGTAAAGCCCTGAAAGATGATTTGCTACTGAACACTGAAGTTCAACTTAAAATGCACCAAAACCCGAATACCTGTATGTTACAAACCACTGCAAAATACGGCTGCTCACAGAAACACCAACAACGGTAAAACAGCACCGAGCAGCCTGAAACGCAACAATACTGAGTTGAAGAGGCAGCTGTGGGCATTTATAGGTGACGGTGGGACAGTATGGGAAGAGGGATGCTGGTGTAACGTATGAATCTCTCATCGGCATCTCCAACATCAGGCTTGTTTGGCAAGATCGAAAGCATCTGTCCACTGTTCCCTTCCCTCCTCCAGCCCAGAGGACGGCAAACTCACTTCACGGACTCGTGCCGTTAGAAGTGGCTCTAAACTCCTGTGGAAGCATCAGCAGAGGCAAGCCACAGAGCCTAAGGAGAAGCTTCAACCACAGCATTGATCCAAACATCAAGTTCATGAGACTGCCTCACGTGGGCAGCCCTCCTGCCAGCTGTCACAGGCAAACGCTGCAGCTCATGTGCTGCCGCTTTAAAGGTACGGAAAAACGCTCATTCCCATCCCCAGCTCACAGCACAGCACATTTCCACTGACAAGGACCACAAAAAAAAAAAGGGGGCAAGGAAAGGCAAAACAGAAGAAGCTGTTCTACAAGCCCATTTAGTTTTCCAGGGAGACATGCTCTGAATTACATACAGGGCCCCACAGGTGAAACACTGCTGTAACAGGGGAAACATCCCGACAACTGACTTAAGGCAAAGTGCTTGAGCACAGTTCTCCAGTACGGACTGGCACTTGAGAGCAGAGAGAACACGCCCACTGCTGCACTTGTCACCTTACCAGTATTTTACACTTAGGAAAGGGGAGGCACACGTGACTGGGCGAGGAAAAGAATTTACTTTCCAAGTTGTGACCCAGCACATAAAGCCAAGTGTGTCTGGAAAGGTAAAAACACGTTTACACCGAGCCTGGCCTGGCCTGCTGGTGGATGCGTTTGATCGATGCAATGTTTCAGGAAAAAGGAATTGGAACCAGTCTTAAAGACCAGCTTGCCAGCCTTGCTGTGCCATTCGCCCACAAGCCCCTCTGGAGCAGGAGAGCACGTCCCTCTCGTCTCTCTGCAGGGGCGTTCCTTGGAGCCGGGCTGCAGCAAAGCAGAGTCAGCACAGTCACATGTTAAGAATTTTAAAATTCTACTCTGAAGACACCATCTGACAAAAGGAAGCATCATTCTTTTGGGGTTATCGCTGAAAATCTGCAGGACCTGTAACAAAATGCATGACGAACTAACTGCATGTCAGTTTTACCAACAAAGGATACAGGTCTAAGCCTGGTGTGAGGAGAATTTAATGGAGCTTATTTACAAACCAGGAGGGGAGAAACTGCATCGGTGAAGGTAAACAGCCTAGACACCTCACAATACTGGCCCACATCATATTCTTTAATATCTAAAAGTAAAAAAATATGGCCCATTCCCACTGCCCTCCCCCCCATGATATTTACAAGTAAAATCAGCCAAGATGATACATAAAGAAGATACACAGGCAGCCTGTGCTCTCAGTCTCAGTTTGGTTTCTCCATCTTCTTGCTGACAGACTCCTTTATTGCTTGGGACACTGACCAGACCTCAGCAGTACTGTCTGTGCCCTCCTGGATGGTGGCACAGCAAACAGCAGTGAGGCTTCGGCAAGCTCCTGTATGTTTTGCTGCACGCTAAATGGCCCACAAAAAAAAAGGATGACAGGATGTATCATGTATATTTACAGTCAGCCACTCTTTTCAGCGCGTGTTCCACTGCAAGAGAATCCAGCATCTGCTGTTTAAGTTGAAAACTGTCAGCGTTCCCATTTGGCACAGAAGTAACTTTACATCTGTGGACTGCAGTGAAACCAGAGAGATCCCAGATGTGAAAATCATGCACTTACGGAAAGGAACCGCACGTTCCACCTTGGAACATCAACAGCCTTGTGCACTCACAGAAGGAAAACACACAATTACAGCTTAAAAAATGCCACAAACATTTTGTAAATAAACCAGGCTTCATTGCTCTTAGAAATAATACTATGCCAGTTCCAAATTCGGCTGAAGCCTGCTGGGCACAAACTGGAAGGTAAGAGCGTGTAGCATGCTGCTTCTGAACATGCCAGGAGGTTGAGTGGAGGAGTCCTTGCAAAGGAATGCAGCAAATAAAGGTAAGACATATGGAAACATACGCAGGAACAGGAACACAGTCTAGGAGACCCAGGCAATTCCAATACTATGCTTGCAATGAGGTGCTGCTGTTCACAGTATGGAAGTCATCTGACAGCAGCTGCAGCGTAGGAATTAGTCATCGATAGTTGGCAACCAGAAGGCCTACAAAAGAGGAAGGAAAGAACATCTTTTCCAGAGCAGAAACAAATCTCTCCTACAGCACACTGTAGGAGCTGATCACTGCTACCTTCTACAAGCACACAGGCAGAGACTACCAAATAGGCAGCAACACCCTCCCACCAGTCTAAGGTTACAATCCTTGCTTACGCTGGTTTGGTTTGCATTGCACTGCACGTTCTCCAGAGCAAGCCAGTCTTACACAAACTGCAAACGCCAGCCGTGTACAGTGATCTAAAGAACTCATACTTCTGCATGCGCATTCATTCACTGCTCTGCTTTCATGTACGTGTTCAGACACTGGCTCGCCAGGTGTGCTGCCCTACATATCTACCTGACAGGTAAGGTGCAATCAAGGCATAGCAGACAAGGGCCTGACTCTCATCAAAGCCCAAAGAAATACTCATCAGTGGCCCTGAGCATTCTCAGACTCATTTCTAAAAGGGTCAGCACCTCATTGAGCTAGGAGGAACTTGTTAAAACACTTTCCTTACCATATTGGAACATGCACTAGCGAAAGTCATGAATTTTGGATTGAACTGCAGACAGGTAATAGGACCTGTGTGTTTCCCATCCAGCACAGCCACCTTCATCCCACTTTCCCCATTCCAAACATGAATCTTCCCATCCTCTGAACCTGCAGGCAGGAGCAGAAAACAAGACACACAAGATACATTGCAGAGGTCAGCAGGGAAACGAAGAACATAACCTTTTCTGGCAGAGAACTGTACAAACAAGCAAGCCTCATCTTCATAGCTGAACCTTTCAAATTCTCAAAGTATCACTAGGGTATTTACAAAACATCACCAGAGTTTACACACCTGTATCCAAGCAGCAGGTTTATTTCTTTGCACTGCAGAGACTCAACTATGCGACAGAGTGCAATGCTATTCTGGCAAAGGGGTTAACAACTACGGTCACTCAGTAGAAACGGAGAGCTGACACCACCCAGCTAAGGAGCAAAGACCCTTGCCAACTTGCACTGATGTGTGAGAGGCCAAAAGCTGGGTGTAAGAGTCACTGTTCACACAAGTTCTCAGTTCAGACACAGAAGGAGATAAATATTCCACTTGGCAGGCACGGAATCAAATCAAAGGCTCCACCATTGAAGGTAACCAGATTTTAATGCACTATGCCAAACACCAGAAGCTTCACTGGAGATGTTGACTCTCCAACATTGCTACAACAGGACAGGTTTTTCAATTTACAACGGCATTTTGCAAACTCTGAGGCTGGGCACGTAATGTTTTTATAATTCAATTCTGCTTTAGGCTCATTTTCAATAGGATTCTTAATAAAAATGCAAGGAATTTTCTTCTGCTTCTGTACTTATATGCATGGGCTTTCAAAGAGGAAAAATTAAGAAGCACAAGTTACAACTTAACCACATGTAAAAACTGAACAGAAGCGTTTTGGAACTTCTTCTACTCTAGTTTTCATTTGGAAGGGCACAACAGGAAAGTAAATATGTGCACTAACGTGCTCTCCAGAGACAGACTAAACAAAGAACCCCACCCCTCTTCTCTGCAATCAGGAAGTTCTCAGCCAGAACAAAAAAAAAAACTTTTGCCAAGATCATCACTCATCCAGGAAAAATGAGGATCCAGATACCAATTACCACACAAAGTTAAACATATTTGACGTACCACCCATGTAATTAAGAACAAAAAGAAAGTGCTAAGAAAGGGCAGCATCAGATGCATCTGACTTGTGTTCATGGCTCCTGTTGGGCAGCAGAGTGTAGCAGAGGGACTGAAGTGCTCGCCTTGGGGTGCCCAAACTGTAGCACCAGACTTTACAGGTGTGGCAACTGCTTCTTGCCACCCGCTTCACTCAAGAGTCCTTCCTACAAGGGGTGAGGAAGGGGGCCTGGGCCAGAGGAATCATACACTGGGAGCCATCAGGCTGATGCCTACTGCTTCTATCAAGGGTTAAGCACAGCTTGTTCCACAGACATGGTGGTTTACAAGAGCCACAAGAAAAAAAAACGCATTTTTTTTTCAGGAATGTCCCTGAGGTGTACAAATGCCCCAGGCTACGAGACCAATCGCCCAAGCACAGACAGGTGCCTTGCTCATCAGATAATGGAGGGCAGCCCCAAAACTCTTTGAGGCAGCACACAAGCAGAACGTAACCACGGGGTGAGGATCACTGACACAAATGATGTGACAGGTCTCCATGCATTACAACAGTTTGCTGGTTTCTCATCTTTTTTGGAATAGCATTCATATATAAAGGAAAAAGTAAAAGCCTTCTTGCAGGCTCTTTTACATTTCAGTCCAGAAAATACTGAGTGAACTAACAAAATAGAAAACTGCCAATGCAAAGAAAGGTTACAGCTGCATTGTATTATTTAAATACATTCTGCTTCCCAATAGATACAACTGTAGTCCCACATAACACATCTAATTTCAAAGCACTGCAATTCTTTCCAAGGAGAATTACCTTACCTATCATGATGAACTGAGAGTCTGGTGTGAATGATGCCTCCAGCGTGACAGCCTTACTATTGTTGTAACCCTATGGCACAAAACAGGAGAACATATAGTAGGAGAGCACATCCACAGTAATCTCACAACCAAAGGGCACCTGCTCCCAAAACCAACACCAAGTTTCCAGCAGGGAACACAGGCAACATGCTCACCCCAAACGTATGCAGGATAGCTCCTTTAAAGGCATCGATCAGTCGAATGAACCCTCCATTAGTCGATATGAGGATGAGTTTACCATCATTACTGAACTTCAGGCCTGTCCACTCACACGTTCGATCATACTGCATCTTAAACGTAGCAAACGGCCCCTTCAAAGAAAAAATGAAAAAGCTGAATATTTTTCAAAAGAAAATCTTCAGTCCTAAGATACCAAAGGAAAGTATCACGGCAAAAACATGCCACTCCATGTGTAAGTTTCAAAGTAGTATGAATCCACAGCTTCCATAGTGAAAGAGAGCCACAGTAGGGTGTTTCAATACCCGATAGTCCCATACTCTATCACATTCAACAGTAGAAATTAATTTAAGGTAGAATAATTTTTCAAACAATGCTGCTAATTGAAATTAGAGGAAGAGCTTGAGCCAGTGTTATCGTCATCTGACCTTCTGAAAAACATGGAGCTAAATATGCTCAGTGCTTAGCTAGTTCAGCTGCCCACCCAGTTAGTTTCCTTTGAAACTTCCATCATTTCTGACAATTCTGGCTCCATCTTTGCCAATGTTCATCCAGAATAAGAAGCAAGGAGAAAAAATCTGAAACACCAAAACCCAATAACAACAAAGAGCCTAAACAGGAGTCTGGAACAGGTTAAAGAGTCAGCACAAGTAAACTTTATAATTGGTTCAAGAGTGGATTTCAGGATTTGGTGACAGCACGTACTTGCCTCAGTCTGCAAGATACATACTTAGTGAAAGCTCTCTAGGTGCCAAGTAGGCACCCCAGACAATAACCTGGGCTAAACAAATCCAGCCTCTGAACACTGAGTTTAGATTACTTTTTGCAAGCTAAAAAGCATTATAATTGAAGTTAGGGTAGCTCACCTTGTCAAAAGAACGGAGATCGTAAAGCTTCACCATTTCAGAATTGACTCCAGCAGCAAAAATCAACCCTTCTGGGTCAAAGGAACACACAGGCTTCCCCTGGAGATGCATTAAACCCTGGAAAATAGAAGTCCAAATTGTTTTGCAGAACTGATGCTCACATTTCTACCACCATCCTTTGAGCTCCCTGTGAGCAGGACAGTAGCCTATAGGCAGAGCAAATTAATTTCAACTGCAAATACTGAGGTTTTAGAAAGGTTCAGAACTCAGCTTTTCAAAAGCAACTCTGACTACTTCAGGTCATCATATGGAGCTTCTAGTTTGCTGCAATGACAAAGTTTACATCAGAACAAACCAAGATCCTGTTTGAGCTGTCACCCACCCAAAAAGTACCCAGAGAAAGAAGGATGATGTGGCTGTACTAATAACCACACCAGACAGCACCACAAAACTCTGCTGCTGGGATTGATAGCAACGCCCCACCGATTACGGTTGTGAAGGAGGGGAAAAAAAGGTAATTTGAAATCAAGTAGAAACAGCTCCAGTGAACACCACTGCTGAACTTTCCACGCCTGTTTAATGAAAACTCATACCTTCTGGAAGCCATCGGACCTTACATATTAAAATTGACAGATTAATATCAATGCTTATTTTTAATGTCAACTTCTCCTTAACTCACATACTAGAAAAGGCTTGATAAAATCTGGTAAAAGACAAAAAAATATATCATTTTCTGCATCCTGACTGGCAGGCCTGTGCACATTAGCCAAATGTCTTTACGTAACTGCATGCACATAAATAAGAACACATCTTTGATTAAATCAACAATACATTTAGGAAGTTTCTGCATTTCTGAAACACTGTTGTTCTTTAGAGAAGTCTTGAGACCTTACTGCTTCTCTCTTCTTTCCAGTTCAGGTCAGTTTTCCCTGTTATCTCTGAAGGCTAGGCAGTAAGCTAGCCAACAGTGTCCTCCCAAGGGAGACATCTCTGGTTTCCTGGTAACATTTTCAGGCACTATGGCTGCCATCTAGCGGGAAAATTGAAAATCACAAGTAACACCTCAACCTGTTTCCCAAACTTTGCTGGATACAGCTTCCAGTTACAAGTCCCAGTTTTATCATTCCTACAACTTCAGGCATTAGCATAAATCACAGAACTGCTACTGAATTTACAACCCTCTCTCATCTGTAGCAACTTTGAGATTGAGATTTAACCCAAGGGAAACTTACAGACCGGCATTAAAGGCATACTCCCAGAAAAAGGCAAAATTACGATTTCTTGTCAGAAAAAGCTTGCATTTAAGACAGGTAAAACCATTCTGTAAGAAATGTAACCTTTTCTTCCTTTTGCATTCACAGTTAAGTCATCTGGAATAAGTGGATAGCCCTCTCTCATAAGCAAAACAGTCCCAGTGAGATGGGAAAAGATGAGAGCACAACATGTCCAGAGATAGGGACAAAACAGCTCTTCACCAATAAAGGCGGAGATTCTACTCCTAGTCTTTCATTCCTGCCCCTGCTACCAGCTCTGTTACTTTTCTCAGCCCACACAAGCCTGCTTCCACTAAAAAAAGTACAGTAAACTATTCCAGTAAAACAAATATATAAAAACAAATAGGGTTTTGCCTTTCTAGCAAGTGAAATCTGCTCACAAACAGGTCTGATGAACAACAAAGGTAATGCAAGGAGGGGCAGACCATATGGCTGTTGTGTTACTTTAAATCATTGGCTTTTCATCAAATTTAATTGCATCAAGGCATCAATTTAAAACACAAACACACTATAAACACTCAGATAAAATGCATCTCCCAGTCCCCTTCTGCTGCCATTCCCAACCCAGGAGAGATGTCAGCTAAGAGAGAACACTCTCTGCATAGCATAGCAACCTGATGAACAAGCTGATGACACCCATCTCTCCTCTTGTTTCATCAGCTGTGGGTGCTATTTCTTGCTCTTCCCAGCGTCTCTGCAGCAGAGACATAGGTGACAGTGAGTGGTGCTACACAATGCGACATACATATTTCACAGAGATTTGTGATCAAGGCTCCTTTGGCATTCCAGGAAGGTGTCAACACGAAATCAGCAGCATAAGTTTCTGGCAATATTTTTGTTTTATAACAAGCACACATCCATTTTTCATCCTTCTAACTGAAAATGCAACACATTATGCACATGAATTTGATATCCTACCTGGCAATTTGGAGAGCGGAGATCCCAAAGTCGAATAGTTTTATCCAGGGATCCAGAAATAAAAGTATCATCCACTGGAGACATTGAAAGAGCAACCACTCTGCAACACAGAAGACCACATGCATCAGAGACACACAGAAGCCTGTCCTACCCCCAGCAGTTGTGTACAAGCTCATCATTGCCATGAACAGTTCTACAAAGCAAAAACCAGAGTGAATCTGAGTATAACATAACTCAAGCTCAATACAATCATTATTCCAATCTCTCCTGTACTGTCCCCAAGCCACACCTTACCTTTTTGTATGCCCTGGGAAATACCGAATGTATTTGTTGTCATGCAGGGAGAGGTATCGGATTGTATCTGAAACCATAAACAAACCATAAGCTTTATTATACCATAAACTCAACATTATCTAAAAGCAATCAGTAAACTTGCTCCCCACAGCAAGAGCAGTCTTGCCACAGTGAGTAAATCTGGTCATTTGATTTCAACTCAGACTTCGAAACACAATCAAGTTAGAAACAGACAGAAAGTGACTTGGTTTCCAAGGCAGTGCACCAGGAAAGATACTTCCCACAGTGTGAAGTCATATTACATCTTAAAGACAAACTGTCATGTGAGTTATACTAGTTAACTTCAAAGTTGCTAAAATTTAAGTACCAGTAGGTTTTATTCTATTATTCTCACAAAACAGAGAGTACTAAATTTACAAATCTGACACTACTTTTTTTTTTTTTTTGGCTATACAGCACGAATTTTCCTGTCTTACCTAGGTATGCATCCAGCAAGTAAGTCTCAAACTAAACAGTGAGCATAGGAAAAGTGTGAATTCTAGCATTTAGCCATAGAAGATTTAAAAAGATGAACTTCAAAGCCAGGACAAGACCATTAAAAAGTAGAAAATCTGTCTTTTTTTAATCTGACAATCAAGAGCTACACACATTCTCTGCGCTTTGAGCAGTTAAGCTTTGAGAAGACAGAATAGTAATCTAAACCTTAATCCACTTAAAGCGATTTTTAAAATATATTGAATAAATCAGAGCAGCACTACATTTCCCAAGTGGTAATTTTATTCTTAGTATAGATGATCAGAATTTTGGAAGATACTGTTAAGACTTTCTCCCAAGATTAAAAGAAATCCTTGTAAGAGGAAACAATTACTAAAGTACAAAAGCCACTCCTTAATCTTTATGTGCAGATCCATCTGAGTGATGAAACATGAAGAGCACAAGGTACACCTCTGATATCTGAAAGCAGCATCAGCAAAATCCCTTCTCACATCAGTTAGGGGACACGAGTTTAAGATACTGCTAGATGAGACTGGCATTATACACCCGCACCATACAGTGCCAAGAGACTCCGTACTGCTGTAACAACAAGTCCTGCTGAGGCTCCAAAGATAAACTTAGGGAAAAGCACATTTTTACTTTTGGCTCGGAAGAACGAGAGCCAACAGGATGCAATATGCACAGAGCATTTTAACACTCATAAGAGCTACTGTGTTCAGAATTTTTTGAAAGGCTCATTCAGTAAAATTTCGTTTCTGTGAAAAAATGATGAAGTTACCATTTTGCCTGAGGTTTCACGTCAAGCTGATACCAGAGTTCTAGACCACTCTCCAGTATTTGACAAGAAAGCTAAAGCTGGCTGACCAAGCTGGAAACATGATGCTGGTGACACACCATTCTGAAAGGCTCTAAGTGACCCGAGGTGACTATCCAACACATAAATCCCCAACACCAGTGTCACATCGTATCGTGGCTAGAACCAATATGCCTCAAGCATGCTGTGGAGACACATCTCTAGTTTGTCCCGCAAGAACTGTCGTTACCTGATTACCGACGTATCCATGCAGAATTTCATCTTCCTTTGCTAAAGAGGAAGCACTGGGGAACTGTGATCCTTTGTGATCCTTTTTGTTGGCAGTGCTCTGTCCCAGGCAAGGCAGTGGCCTGTACAGTTATCTCCTGTACCGGGTGGTATCATAGACCCTCAAACTGTACAAACTACTACCTCAGCCTGGAATCAGGCAAGAAGAACTAGGTTCAGCGGTCTTGAGGAGATCTTCAGAAGTGAACTGTTAGCAACTCCAACACATAAAAAAATGCTTGAGAGCAAGCACCAGCACTCCTATAACATGTTCCTGGGTTAATTTTCCCTCCCAATAACTGTGCAACAGGTTAAATACAATGCACCTTGCCCAAGACTGCAGGCATTAGGGACTACAGAGTATCTGGACCGCTACAGAGCACACTGCTGGTTTTATTAGGCTTATGGTTTGTAACAGCAACAAATACTTTCACATTCTTTTTCTTTTCTTCAAATATTTATCATAATGCTACCCTGCAGAATGAAGACTCTTAAATTTTAGTTCCTCAAATGCTTACCAGTGCTTATAAACAAAAACTCACAGCTCAAAATGGCATTAAAAATGGTTCATTAAATTGTTAATTGTTAATTAAATAACAGTCAAGTCAGAAATGTGACATAACAAAGTAATAATTTAGTAGGCTGTGAAACACACTAAGGAGGCAAGTGCTTGCCGTCACACTTTTAATCCTTTCACACCATTAAATCTAATTCCATTGGAAACTTCCTTGTTCCTCTAGTTCCAGGCCCAGCTTGTTCTAGTTTAACCTGACTTCCTAATTCTTAACTTCCATCTGCTCTAAATTTGTACTCTTAAATTCCTTAAGTAACCTAGCACACATCACAAGGCATCAGTATCTCTACTCTCAAGCTCCATCTCTGCAAAGGAAAAAACAAAACCAAACCACTATTCCAGAAATGATTATGACTTTACAAATACAACTTTAAAACTCATTTATAAAGCACTGTGCTAAGACACTTGTTCAGTGAAAAACTCTCAGACACTGGCTACAACAAACAAAACTGATAAAATTTGACATGAACACTAGCTGTCTCCAACTTTAGGAAGAATTAATGTGCCTATCTGTGCCAGTTTTTAAATTTGAATTTTAAATTAAACTCAAATACATTAATAGAGAGCCTGTCACAAAGCCCTAGAAGCCCTTCGATCTCACTGATGTACAGAGTGTAACTATTACAGACACTAACTGTGGAGAAACGGCGTGAAAATGGGTGTTCTGTCTATTACATGGGAAAAAGAGATTAATAGAAGCAAAACTAATCTCAGAAGAGCTCTGTGACCTCCTCCAGGCTTGGCTGGTGATCTGCTGAGTTACCTGAACTTCCTGCCCTCCCTGCTGCATACGGAGAATGGAAAATCATTCCCTTCCTTTGCAGTTGACTTGTGTGTGTACCAGACAGAGCTCCAGTGTTTATCCCACCTTCTGGCCACATGCTCCTTCGACCTCTTTTCAATACGTAAGAAATTAAGGCACAGAGGCTGACTGACACCACTGGTGTCAAACAGCAAAGTGAACAGCAGAATCAAGAACCCAACTTTTATGGCATTAGCAATGTTTAATCCCTTAGTTATTGCAGCAATGAACAAAACTCACATCAGGACGCTCAAGGGAATATCACCAAGTTGTGCATTAGAGTTGAACATTAATTCTCTGTCTCTGACAGCGTGTTTATCACTGAAAAGTTGCTATAATTTTTTCCCAGCTCTTTAGAGTTATTTATTCAGGCATGTAGTTTTCAGTGTAAGGAGATTAAATACGCTCAACTCCAGTGGATCACTTACCATCTATTTTGTTGGAGCTGTACACGACAGTGTTGGCAGCATGTGTGTACCTGATGAGGTCCACTCCATACTTCTTACTGTACAACGTTCTCTTTGGTCTGTGAGAAGGAAGCAGAAACAATTGCACTCACTGCAACAAAAAGTTCAAACTGAAAATCATCACATTAACAAGGCCTGTTTTCATTGAGATATTACAAGATTGTTTCAATTAGTCAGATGTTTTTATACCAAGAAAGAAAAGCTTGTGTATTTGATTTTCAAATAAGCACCCTTGGTGCTTTCTCCAAGACCATTCCTAAGGCTTGAGGAGTTCCCTGTAACACCTGCAAAATGCACTTATTTGTCTCCTCCAGAAATTCTTTTTCTCAGGATGTCTACTTTAAAAGACTGTGAGAAGCTAGCATAACGAGCCCTAATGTCAAGCAGCACTGCGTCCTCGTTCCCTTGCCCATCCAAATCTCTAATTCATATGCTGCTTATTTTAGATTGAGAATAATTTATCTTTTTTTCTATGTTACTTCAAAGCCTAGAACAGGGCGTCTCATTCAGAATAGGCCTTCTTGGAATTAACACAAACCTGTACACATACCAGTAGTCTATAAAAGCAATGGTAACACAGGGACTCTCAAACTACTGGAGGATTATATTCACATCCTATCTTAATTAAAGCATGAAACTCAAACGTAACATTTTGCAACAGAATTAAAGACATTCTAGTGAGAGTGAAGACAACATACAAAACTGGATTTTTAGGGGTCTGGCAAGCAAGTGATGTACTGCAATACTAGAAATTTAAACTGCAAAGTAAACTTAGAAGTAGCTGGTGAAGAAATGTATCTTTTTTCAGCAGCAGTGCCTGTTTAAGCAGTGCAAGGTTTCCACCACCCTCCTTCCTCAGCTGAGGTAGCACAGTGGTTTCAAAGCTGGGCAGTCAACCAATAGGGGTACCGATCAACACCAGAAATCACAGAATCTCTTCCGGGAGTTATTTTTAATTCAGAAACACCTAACTCTGGTTATTACACAGGCCTACAAAATATTTTGCCAACACAGACCAAAGACAACGTCATGGGAATGGAAACAAACAGCAGGAGTGGTCTAAATCAATACCACTGCCAAAAGAAAAGTTTATCAGACCACACCCTCAGCCAAGGTATTTCTAAAATGCTCAACTTCTTCCTTGTTTTCATTAGCCTGAAATTGACAGACTCAAACTAGAGCATGAGCTGGAGGCTTTTCATATCCAAACGAAAATAGACATTCATTCTTACACATTAACTCTCAAATAGCAGAAGCCACAGGGCTTTGACTTCAAACGAACTTGCTGGGGACAATCTTCCATTAACTGAAAGCCAATACAGCAAGTGTAATTAAAACCACTTAGACCAAATCTCAACAGATTCTTCCTCAGTTCCTCCAGTAGATTTAAAAATCAATTTTCAGATGCAAACATGCTGCAAACTGAAAACAACACATTAATATAAATTTAGGCACCAAAATTCTGTAACATTATGCCTGACATACTTCCTCATACTGCTCTCTGTAGTTACCTCAGCTATGCTGTTGACCGAATTGGAAAAAAAAAACAAAAACAAAACAAAGAACCAAGAAAAAACCCACCAACCTCAAAATATACTAAGACTCTCATGCCTACGCTGGCTCTTCCTTACCTATGAAAAGTTTAAAGCTTAGAAGCTCTGTTCGGAATAACTGAATGTACACCAAAGAATACACGCAGAGACAATAAAGATCAACAGATGGACAAAAGCACACTTACCAAAAAGAAGGAAATAAAGTACTTTTGAGTTTTAAGAAAGGTGAAGTTTTCATGTAAACTGACACAAGCAGAAACATGTCACTTCACGCAAGACCACCTGCCTGTTCCCAATGACTAAAAACACAAGCCAGAAAACTAAGCTTTATATATTTTTTAAACAAATCACAATCACCAAACATAATTCCAAGTTTAAGGTTAATCTATCCGGCCCACTTGCAAATCAAGCAATATCGCTGAAGAAAAACGCTTTACCCGATCACAGTCAGACCTGCCATAAAGAGGAAACAAAACACAGGCGAGGTTTGGAATAACATCTGTGCCTTGGTGTGAACCACGACTGCTGCAGGAAAAACCATCCTCCAAACCCAGGCTCGCTGGTAAGCGGGAGGCAAGATCCATCACCTCTTTATTTTTTACAAATAATACACAATTGGTATACACCAAAATACAAGCTAAACCTTCGTCAGGCCACCATCACATCATACCAGGGTTACAAATTTGCAGCCGCAAGCCTCCTGCTCCCAGCTTGAAGGACTGCTGCACATCCCAACATGCAACTCCCTTCTAAAAGTTTAGAGAGCTCGTTCTCAAGCCCCAACAGACACAGGGGAGCCTCTCGGTCATGTTTTTGAGCCAGTCTATTCTGGGGGTATTCAGTGATGCAGAATGGGTTAAAAAAAACAACAATTATTTAGTTGTTTACACATTTTGAAATGGAAGTGGAATCTCGCATCCAAAATTACTGGATGCTCAAATTTTTTGAAAGCTCAAATTTTTCAAGCTTGCCTAAGCTCAGAATATACATAATAAGGGAATCTGTGTTTCAAGGAGATAATCTTGTCCTGTTAGCCCTTGGCTACACATCCCTGTTTAAACTCTCCTGACACTTTTAGAAACGGAAGTTCACTGAGATGGGCCTTGGTCATACTGGTAAGGACTCTTGTAGCTGCGTGGCTCATTTTAGTACGGCAAAACAAAGTAAACTAGGTGAGAATGTACCTAAAAATACAAATAAACACACTGCATTTTAATTCTAGCAGCAGAACTGCTCATTAACAGGGGCAGGGAAGAAAAAAAAAACAACACCACTAAATTTTGCTACTTGCACATGGGGAAAAGTTTTAACATTCGAGTCATTTGATGAAGTAGGGTATATTATACTGAAACCCAGCAAGCAGAACATTTCCTCCTGGCCATTATATTCATTAGCAATGACATACACAAGAAGGTGAGAGGGCCTTGAAATGGTGGTTTAAGAAAAAAAAAAAAAAATTAACTATAGGCCTGAAACTGCCTAATTCCACCATGTCACAACAACAATCACTCACAGATTTGATTTTTCATCTCCACATGAATCTCTATTGACAAAGTAATTCACAGCTAAAACTTCCCAGGTGAGAGAAGTGCTCTTGTGGGTGCTGCATCCCTAGGTACCTCCAAAAATCACAGTTATACTTTTAAGTCCATTGATAGTACATGAGAAACTTTCAAATTAATTTTATAACCAAGTAATGCATCCTGAAGCAGGAGTTACCTTGATGAAACTCCTCTCAGTGCCCTGTAGCACTGCAGTAGATGACCATCGATCTTCTACATTTAACTTAATTAAAGAAAACTCTTTGATTGTAAAGTATACACCGGGACTAGATGGACAGACCAAATGCCTCCCAATCCATCAAACAATTCTTCAAAAGTTTGAAAGGGGAAGAGCAATCAATCGCATCTGCATTAACATCACTCGGTGCTCCTACTATTGTATATAATTAGGATCTAGAAGAGAATCCATGGCAGACACCATAGGTATAAAGTTACCATTCTTACATAAATGAAAACTAAATAATTTAAAATAAGAGTTCACTCTATCTGATGGGAAACACCAACTTTAATGTGTAAAGCAATTAAACTCAATGGAAGCGTAAAGTAACATATAATAAGTGGTCTACAAAATTAAGACAATATGCAGGATGCAATCTTTCAAACATAGCAAGTATGATATCTTGGCCTGCTTGAAAAAGGAAGAGGATTAGGAATACCTAGTTTACCAGAAAATATACACGACACTGACACATCTACCTCCTGGTACACCCAAGACATGTCTTTTTCATTCTAGTATTATCCTGTCCTCCTTTATTCTCTCTCCTACAATACACATGCTCATTTTTCTTTCACTTTCTGTATGTATGTTACGCTTTCCAGTCTTGACTTCACAAAAAAAACCCAAGTTACCTCAGAATTACATCTCTACACCAAGAAGCACATGAAAACTAAAACTTAAAATCTAAAAGAATTTAAAGCAGTTAAACGCACGCTTGTACCAACTGAGAAATATTTTAATGGATTAATGACATCAATCGGCTCAATTTGTTCCAACTCTCACAAAATACAAGTGTCTTACATACATTCCAAGACATCAACTGCAAGCGTTACTGGTGGTCTTATTTGCGCATTTTTATCCGCTGAACAAGAGCACCATATATCTCAAGTGCTGTGCAGATTTCTGTGGTTTTATCCATAAAATGGGACAAGCACCGTGGATCAATGAAGGAAGATAAACTGGACAACTCCGTTCAGTGAGAAACGCACCCATCTTATATCGTTACCCTTAAGTAACAGAAATTAAAAAACACTTTGATTGATTAAATATAAGTTAAGGCAATGCTCTTTAACTGTGCTTTACAGATAAAAATGCAACTACAGAAAAGGATTTAAGAACAGACGACCACCTTTATATGTTCCCAGACACCACTTAGGAACTAGGTTTTAAGGAAAACACCATCAAGTTTTTAGAAGTTACAGTAAGCACACACCACACCATATTCACCTTTTGGCTTAAAGCATTTGCCCAAGAAGTTACACTCAGACTAGGTTGTATAAACTGGCACATCTGTACACTGCTCACAGCAATTGCTTCTATTTCAATTAGTGAGGCTTAAGCCCAGAGAAGTCAGTTTGCACATCCGTAACAATCGCGAGGCCTGGAAATGCGACCAGTCTCAACCCCTTAAGCCCAACAACTACTTAGTTCTCACAGCAGTGAATTCTCTGACAGTTGGGAAACGACCATCGCTGGCTCCAGCCCACCAGAGACACCCGTAGCGCAGACACAACCATGCTGCTCCCATCTCTGCGCCCCACTTTAATCGTTTACAATCCACCCTCCTCTCCCGTCAGACACCGTCGCAGTTCCACTTGCAAGCCTACGCTAAAAAAGCGACAAAAGCAAAGCTAAAAGCT